TAGACCAACAAAAAGTAATACAGACAAATTCATATAAATACTTAGGAACAGTAATCAACAACAAATGAGACATCGAGGACGATCTTAACAACAAAATGGAAAACACAGAAAAACTATTCCAAGCACTAAATAGAGGATTCCTTAATAACAAATAAATATCAACAAAGACCAAGATGACAATATACAAAACAATATATAGACCTACAGTGACATATGGAGCAGAAAATTGGATACTAAACAAAAGGTATCAAAGCAGAATTCAGGCAGCAGAGATGAAATACTTCAGAAGAACGATCAGAGTAAAAAGAACTGATAGAATCAGAAATGAAGAAATAAGAGAAAGACTCAAAATGAAATCGATACTTGACTCAATCAAGGAGAAAAACATGGCATGGTTCGGACATCTAACCCGGATGGACAATAATAGACAAGTAAAAAGAGTGTGGGACGCCAAACCAATAGGGAAGAACAGAAGAGGAAGACCCATTAAAGAATGGAACAGTGACATCTCGCAGATACTGGAGAGTAAGGGTAACACTTGGCAGGAAGCAACGCAGATTACATACGATAGGAAGGAATGGAGAAAGTTCGTTAAGAGCTAGGACACCTCAAAAGATTGTAAAATATTATAATTTAATGAATTGTATTATAAACGGCCCAACACCGAAAGGTACAAATGGGTCTACTGATTAAGTAAGTAAGTATAAACCATTCTATTAGAACCAATGCTTGAAGTGATCGGCGGTTTTGAATGTTCTTTACGCGTGCGAACTCAATTTTAAATAAAATTTATATGTTTAAGAATAAAATGGCGTTTTAAAGGTGAAGAGAGCAATTTTCATTTGCAATTTTTGTATGTTACCTCAATTAATCTCAGTTTTTATAAAGTTGTTGTAACCTCGAAAACCTTTTTTTTGATGGTGCTAGAAAGGTCACCAATGAAGACACTGCGGACGGCAGCCAGATGGTTGGTGGAGAGCAAGTCGTGGGTTCGAAACTAGCTTTTTGAACCGAGAATGGGTCCAACGTACGAAATAAGTAAAGATAGGATAAGAGATATTAGAAAAGATACAGAAATAAACAAAAGGATAGATGGGTAAAATTACCAAAGATACGATAAGATAGAAACAGTGCGCCACTCAATTTTTTGGGGTTAAGGAGAAAATTAAGAAACCTTAGAAAAGAAAAGAGATAAGGAAAGATATTTAGGTTCAGAGATCAAACCCAAGGAAAGATACCAACAGGCAATTATCAAATAAATTTGGTCAACACATTATATAAACAAATAATAAATATATTAGGTATTAAACTTACCTACGAAACTTAATCAGCCTGATCTTTCTACTGGTCAAACGCATATTAATTATTAAAGGTAAAAAGCAAATATTCAGAGTTACTATTTTATCAGGGAACTTGTTAGGAGCCGACAAATAAAATACATACATAAAACAATAACAATATATTCAACAACAAAATTATGACGCTGCTGAATGCAACACAAGTAATAAAAGTACACCAACAACTATAAAATGGTGGTATACATATAAAATAAGCAGTAATATAATTAGAAAATACATTTACAAAGATATATAATACAATCATGTACAAATAAAGTTTTGTGGGCGTACCTCGAGATATTACAGTAAAAAAAATGAACAAAAATTATAACAAACACAAAAGATAATCAAAGCTAAATTTACAAAAATACAAAAAGGTTACAGACATAAAACTTTAACCAAACCGCACTTGGTTAAGCCGATTATTTGCTTCGCACTATTATTTAATGATAAACAGACTTAAATGTTCATATTTATTACTTATTGAAATTTCTTGAATTTAATGAAATGTTCTTTAAATTGAATACAAAAATCAGCAATCTACAGGTGAAGACATGGATGAACTTTGATTCGCCCAGATGATTGCAGATAATATGATACCATACCATATTACTTGCCCAGATAATTGGAGATACTAAGATTATGGTAACTTACAGTAATTCCTGATGACTGCTGCCTAGGTACTTCACTGAAGCTATATACTGTACTTAATACTTTACTTGTATCAAACACTGACTTTAATTAACATTAAAGGTACTTTAGAACTATATATAATCTAATATAGTATAAGAAAAGAAAACTCAAATATAAAGTGTATACGCACTTAGAGAAAAAATGCACAGAGACGGTAAGAGACGGTAATTTTAGGCAAGCGACCTCATTCAATGATCGACCCACTAGAAGTAAGTTGGTTTTTCTAAAATTTTACAAACTACCCAAGAAAAAAGAGGGGATATCTCCCACTTAGAAATCATAGGCCAGTTGTATGTAGTTCTGAGAAGGTAAAAATATTCTAATGGACATCGAAAATTTTGAGGTATTTACGGTAGGTACTAGTAATTGGACGTGATCAAATATACAATCCTTTGGATTATGTTATTGTCAAAAGATTACTATACGTGCCTTCGACGAAAATTACCAATTTATGAAAAAGAACCCGCATACCGAAAAGCATTAGTTCCTTTCTATACTGGGATTAAGAAGGAAAGGATTACCAACCTTTCTTAATTAGGAAAATCCGTGTTGTTTTGGTAGGTAAATTCTTCCGTCATAAACATTTCTAATCGTACACACGATCATCGGCGTATCGTCCACATGGGTAAAAGGAATAAAAATAATTAATATTTTAATTATATAAAAAAAATGTTACAGTGTTAAATAAATAAACTTGGGCGATTATTTCTATTTTTTACCAGTCAGTATGGAATTTCGATTTTCATAGTGTAATCTTCAAAGCCTATGGTATGGAATTTAGGATTTCCTTTTTGGAAACAAATGTGAGGAATTTGAATTATACAAACCATCTAAAATGTTTAAAACTGCTTCTTTTCGACTAGAAATTTAAAATCTGCGTTTTTTAGGCATACCTATTTCAAATTCCTCATATTTGTTGCCAAAGCTCAAAATCAAAATTTCATGGTAAAGATTTTAAAGACCAGGCTCTAACAATGTAAACTCCACCACGACCAATCAATGGAATTGATAAATTTTATTGATCTCGTGAGAATTTTAAAAAATAACAAACAATGTGCAACGTTTATTTATTGAATAGATTTAAAGAAACTGACTTTTCGTTAAAATACAAAGATGTTATACAACAGCTTCACTCTTCACATTTAAAACGCATTTTGATAAAAAGATATCGGATTTTTACCGTCGAGTTGATAAAAATGTTATTTAAAATTGATTTCGTACGAGTAACTGATTTTTAACATCGCACGTCGCTTCAACAGTTGTTTATGAGAAAACGGTTCATTCTTCGAAAAAAAGTGCTATTATATATTTTTGTTTATAATTACCTATCTCAGTTATATTTTTTATTTAAAACATTTTTCTACGGCATACAGATTCTTGGACAGGGACAGCGTGACAAATGAATGGAGGAGCAGATACAAACAATGAAATAGAGACTCTCTTCGGGAAAGGAAACATCGTAAGATACATAAAAGCCAATAGATTAAGATGGGCAGGCCAGGTGGTACGAGTGATGACGACAGACTGATTAGCAATGTGTTTTGGGAAAGACCAGATGGTAAAAGATCGACAGGAAGGCCTAGAAAAAGGTGGAAAGACGCTGTCAGGGAAGACTGGAGAAGATAGAAGTAAGGCCATGGGAAATCATAGCACAGAATCGGAATCAATGGAGGGCAATAGTAAACGCGGCAAAAACTCACGAAGAGTTGTAAAAGCCAATGATGATGATGATACAGATTCTTGGTAAATATATTTTCCCCCTGAGAGCGAAGGGGTTTAGGGGGAAGCCGGAGGTTAGGAGTGATAAACTTTTTTGTACATTTTTTGGGGTTTCAAAATTAATATTCTCTCAAAATTCAGCCTGTTCGTATGATTTTTAGAGGTCACATTTCTAATGACTGGACCATCAAATAGACGACTAATATAAATAGACTGCTAACCAGCAGGTTTCCTTTTATTTTTAATTGCAAAATTTCTCTAAAATATTTGTACATATTAAAATTAAAAACTTACCTTCTTTGTTGCCAGAACTTCTTTGGGAAGCACACATATCATTTTGTAAGTTAAAATAGGCCTGATCCATTGCGTTTTCACGAACTGTTCCATACACAATATGCTCTGGGTCAAATAATTGTTTCACATCTGCAGTATCAATGTTTTTATTTTTACCTTCTACCATACACGGTTCGATTTGCGGGAAAACAAAAGGTAAAGGTGGCTCGTTATGTTTGACAGTGGTTTCTAAGCTTTTGATCTTATAATTCTCAAAAGCGTCTGATTTCTGTTTTAAAACATCATAATTATTGTGATACAAATGTGTCCTAAACATTAATGAATTATGTCCTGCAACACTTTTACATTTTTCATTATCCTTAGTCATGTTTTGGTCAACAAATTCTTTTGGCAACTGTAACTTGGATATATCTCGGAGAATTGTTTTATTTTCAAATACATAAGAAGATTTTGCAGTTTCAACTTTGGTGCTTTCATTATTTTCCGAATCACTTGTATTCACATTTTCTTCTATAACATTAACATTTTTGAAATATTCTCCGTCTGCCGTTTTTCCTATCTTTTCCATATTTCCATTCACCGATTCCGATCTAGTATTATCAGATTTTTGAAAACGTTGTAAAAACTTGTTAATTCCTTTATCAGTAGAAGCCGAATTTTCGACATTATTGTTAATTTTTCGTTCAATGTTCTTATTACGCTCACAATCTAGTCCAATGTTATTGTCATTTCTGACATTTAAATTTTTAAACATATCTTTTCTTGTCTTTTTTTGTAAATTTTCTATATCCCCATTTACCTTTTCTGAATCAATATTAATAGATCTCTTCTCTTCTTTTCTCTTTTTTTGTAACTTGTCTGTATCCACATTTAACATTTCTGAATCAATATTACGAGGTCTCTGAAAACATTGTAAAAACTTCCTAAGACTGTCATTAGTACAGCTTTTGCTTGTTTTCATGTTTTCATTGCTTTCCCAATTTTTCCTGTTATTATTATCATTATTTCTAACATTAAAATTTTTGAACATATCTTTTGCCCCGTTTTTTCTATAGATTTTATATTCTTATTTCCCTTTTCTGAACAAATATTAGCAGGAAGCTGAAAATGTAAATAGTTCTTAAAACTTTCACTAGTAAGTGCTGAATTTTCGATATTATTACCAATTTTTCTATTTATCTTTAGTTTGTTTTTCTCATTATGTTGCCAACTTTCAACTTTATTCTCAGTTTTAACACTAAAATTTTGAAACATACATTCTCTATTGCGTTTTTCTACTATGCCTGTATCCTCATTCATATTTTCTGAATTAATCGCGTTAGGCCTTTGATAATACTGTAGAAATTTCCTTAGACTCTCATTAGTGTACGCTGAATGTTCAACTTCTATATCAACTTTTCTTTCCACTACCTTCATTTCAATGCTTTCAATGTTTTGCCCACATTTTTCAGTGTTACTCTCATTTCTAACATCAGAATTGTTAAAAGTATGTTTTCCTTCATTTTTTTCTTCCTCTTTCATATTGTCATTTGTCATTCCTGATTTAATACTATTAGGTTTCGTATAATGTAGTAAACATTTTCTAAGAATTTCATTAGTATATGCTGGATTTTCGATATTATTACTAATTTTTCTGTTAACCGTAAGTTCATTGTTTTTATTATGTTGCCAACTTCTTTTAACTTTATTCTCACTTTTAACACTAAAACTTTTAAACATGTCTTCCTCATTGCCTTTTTCCATCATACCTGTATCCTCATTCATAGTTTCTGAATTAATAGGGTTAGGCCTTTGATAATGCCGTAAAAACTTCCTTAGACTCTCATTAGTGTATGCCGAATGTTCAACATCTATATCCATTTTTCTTTCTACTACTTTAGTTTCAATGCTTTCAATGTTTTGCCCAATATTTTCATTGTTATTCTCATTTCTAACGTTAAAATTTTTAAAAATGTATTTTCTTTTATTTGTTTCTTTCTGTCTCATATTCTCAATTATCACTTCTGATTTAATATTATTAGGTTTCTGATAATGTCGTAAAAATTTTCTAAGGATTTCATTAGTAGGTGCTGAATTTTCAATATTTTTATCCATTTTTGTTTCTTCTTTGTTCATTTCAGTGTTATTTCTTACATTACAATTATGGAGAACATTATCTCTTCTAATATTTGAAATTTTGTTACTAGAAAAAACATTCAAAAACGCACTTGCTTCTGTATCATTCTGACAACTAGATTCTAATGTAGAGGGTAACAAGGATTCTTGTTCAGTCTTGGTATTGTTTAAAAAGTTATGAAATAGTCCCATATGTCTCGTTGAACTTGTATTATGGTCCTTTCCAACTTTATCATTTTTCAATTTTCCAAAAGCTCCTAAATTTGTTTTTTGAACATTTCTGTATTTTTTAAACACATCTGTTTTCAATATCTTTACAGACTTTTCAGTATCTGTCGTTTTTCGTTTGTAAGTGTTACTCCCACTTTTTGCTATTTTGTAATAATCTTTTATTGATGCATTTCTTGGAAATTTTTTGGAAGTTTCACTGATCTCGGCAGTGCTAATGTTTATAAAGGAGGCAGCCATATCTAAAGAAGAAATATTTAAAATAAAAATAATATATTTATGAAAAAAAAAATTCAATTATTATAGTAGGGGAAAGCCGTGTAATTTGAACTAGTGCGTAAAACGTAACTCTCAAAATTGGACATTTAGTGACATCTTACTAATTCGTCAAAAACCATCCCTAACCAAATGAATGCAAAACGCAACCTCGTTCGAATGAGTTAGTTGGCTATAATGTTTACCACCAGAAAGTTTATTGCGATATTAAAGACGAGGTTGGGTCAAATATCTGGCTTTTGTTTATTACGGCTAAATTATGCAGTATATAAAATATGTTTATATAGAAACTGATGTATATCAATTATACAGAGTCTGTCGGAACAACGGAATAAACCAAAGTTGTGTTTTTTACACTCTGTATAATAGTATTCCATTTTGTAAGAACACATCTGTCAAATAAACGTCAAATCGAAAGGCGCATTATTTTGAAGCTCTTACAAAAAATATCAATTTTAAAGGTTTTTTCTTCACTTTCACAGTATCACTTGCAGTGATAAAGACACATTAAACTAGTGGTCTGGAAGAAAGTGTATATTTCGTGTATAGGTAGTTTAATTTAAAAAAAAAAAACGACATGGAAGAAATTCCACCGAAGCCTCCAGATAGAGGGAAATTTTATGTAGAATTTGGAGAAGATAGGACGATGGAATGTGAAGAATTAAAAAAAAATAGCAACATAACAATAAATAAGGTAACAAACGAAAAAAACCAAACAATTAGCACTAACGAGGTAAGTAACCAATTTGATTTTAATAACGATGCTTTGACACAATTTAATAAAATAGATAGATCAGGTAATCCAAATTTAAATAAAGTTATAAATTTAAGATTAAATAATAGATATAAATTAGGAGATAGTGCACCATACATAGTACATATAGAAAATAAAAACGGTAATATCGGCAAATTACACAGGATAGGCACGGCCCGATTAATTTTACGTTCAGTACCTGAAATTGAAAATAATATTACACAAATCACGGTAGCTGGTAGGAATAAAATTAAGGTAGAACTTAATAATTTTACTAGTGCTAATAAATTAATTGAATCTGATAATTTAAAAAGCAAACAGTACGAGGCATATATTCCAACGTTTTTTACCCAAAGAAAAGGTGTTATAAAATCTGTAGATAAAGAGATAGAAGAGGATGATTTGTTATCATTAATTCAACCTAGGTTTGGAATGAGGTTTGAAGTCTTACATGTAAAAAGAATAATGCGGAAAGTGGTACAAGAAAATGGATCAACTATCTATGTAAAAACTGGAACTGTAATAGTAACGTTTAAAGGTCAGTCTATACCTACCAACGTAGTAATAGAAAAAATGATATACGAGGTTGAAAATTACACACCCGGAATGCTTCAATGTTTAAAGTGCTTGAGATTTGGGCATATACGTGTTCAATGTAGGGGAAAAGATAGGTGTGAAAGATGCGGTGAAGAACATAATAAATCAAATTGTTCCAATCCTAGCAATCTATTTTGTGTATTGTGCAAAGGAAAACATAGCCCTATTGACAAGGGAGCAAATTGTATGGAAAGGGAAAAAACAGGAGTATATTAAAAAGATTATGAATACTGAAAATATAACATATTACGAAGCTAATAATAAATATAGAAAATATTATTCAACAGTAAGTAAAGAACAAGAAAGTACTTCCAATAAATATACAATTTATAAACGAAAACGATCAAATCGCACGTTGAAAACAAAAGTGACACTATGCCAAATTTACAATTTTACAGTAGAGCATTTTTTAATTTCGGGTATAAAATTAATAAGATAATTTTGTTTTTTTAACAATATATGGCAGTGTTTTTCTTAATATTAGTCTTGATTTGCAATGTATTTAATGGCTAAATACATCACCTGGTGTAATATTCTGACAAAATATTTCACAAGCTAAGCTAAAACTGATTTTTGTTTTTAGTGTCATTTTTGTTTTGCATGATTTGGAAAATATTTGCTAACAGTGACATGTTTTGCTTATTTATTTTAAGGAGTACACTGTGAAATAAAAGTTAAAAAAACGTTTTTTTTTTTATTTTTAATAGAAAAATTATAAACCAAACTACTAAATTGTGAACAGAAGTGGTTAACAAACAGAAAATTAAAATTCTAAGAAATATTGTTTTTACAATAAGTTTAATTATCTTATTCTTTTAAAATGTGATTATAATAGGAATGATAAAATTGAGGAATGAGATTGGCGGTAATAAGGCTTTGGATATCATTTTTCTTGCGTTCTGATATTTCAATTTTATTAAAATATAACGGACTTAATTTTTGCTGGTCACAAATACGGTGAAAGTTTCGCTGTAGAGCAATTTCTTTATAGTCGTCAAAATAGGATGTTTTGTAAAATATTTGGATATCATTATTATCATTTTTTTCAATTTTTATAACTTTAATATCTGATAACTTTACTGCTTCTCCATTAACATTCTTCTTTATTGCTACGCTTGCTAAATTTTTAATATGAATAAAATCTGCATAAGACATTTCATTAACTACGAAAGGATTGCCACGTTTCTTTGCATTTCTTATAGCAGTTACATATTGTGCCGGGACGTAAATGGGGCCAGACCGTAACATCTTTTTAATCTCTTTCTCAATTATTGAATGTGCAGCATCCCCTTCATTTTGGGTATGGCCCCTAATTAAAAATTTGTGAGTAATTGATTTAAACTTTAGATTCTTAACTGCGTAAATATACATTCCAATAATATACTGGTTTTTCTGCTGACCACAGCAATTATCAGAATAGAAAATTACATCCGTATCTAAATTACTTCCTGCTGACTTTTTTTGAAGAAAACGTAAAACGCAGGTGCCAATCTCATTCGCTCCACGCTGACCGTCGGACTCGTCCCAAAAATAACATTCTGTATGATCTACACCTAATTCGCATATCGTAAAGTTTAAACAGTTAATTTTTGATTTATAGTAGAATGTCGACGCTTCTCCATTAGGTATAATCATAACCGCCTGCAAATCATAGCAAGCTACAACTAACTCTTCAGAAATGAACTCTTTGTCTTTCAGCTTTTCTTCTCTACTTTTGTCTTTTTCTTGTAAATGTCGATTGTATTCCTCTTGTAGCTCCTTCTTTTTTTCTCCTTCCGTCACTTTATACGCCGTGCATTGATCACATTGATCTTTTTTCGGCACAAAGAAACTGATATTAAAATTAGAATTAAAAATTTTTCGATAGGTATGTAGCTTTACGAACTGTAAATTGTTTTCAATACAATGCTCTTTGTAATCGTTATACAAATCTATTAAATTCTTTCCACCATCAATATACTCCCTAGATGTTTGTTTTCTTAAAAAATGGCTCTCTATACGGGGAATGCTATTTATATGGTCTTTTACGCCGTCTGTCAGCTCGTCAGATATTTTTTTATGTTTTTTGTGCTTCCCTCTTTCTTCTCCTAACAAGATTCCCCTGTTGTCCATTTTACTAATCACTGTTCTTATAGGTCTATCACTTATTCCTAAGGTATTTTTAAAAAATATCTTACAAACCCTAACTTTGGCACTATCCAACTCAAAAGTGAAGGAATGCTTGTACTTTCTGTTTGAATCGACTTTTTTATACTGGTATTTAGGAACTATTTCTGTCATACTTCGCGCAATAAACTCTCTTTGGCGTTCAAGCGATCCCATTCCCCAATACCCTTCAAATAGCAGTTGACGAGCTTCTTGTGATATTTTTTCCCTGCATTTTAATCGGCAATGGTTTCCACAGGTTGGTCCCATTTTGCGAGATTCAATAATTCGATTTGATTTTGATACCGATACATATTGTTGCCCTAAATTTCTCAAATTCTTAGCAACAATAGCACGCCTCGTGTTTGCGGATTTTTTTCGAGATCTGGGTATATGCTGAACTCCATCTGTAGAACTTGTTGATGAGCTTGAACTAGCTGATAATCTTCGACGCGCTTGTTTAGTAGGAGGTTGATATGTTCTATCATAGTCAGAAACTGATGAAAACTCACTGTTACTTTCTTCATCTTCATCATTCTTGGTATCTGGAAATAATAAAATAAGAATAGATAGATTTTATTGAAAATAGGTCGACTGTCTAACCGGATATTGTAGATTTGTTTCTAATGCAGGAGGCAAAGGAGGCAAATACGACTCTGGAAATAATTTTAAAAATTCACATCGGAGGTGTCGATTAAAATAATAATTTCTTACCATTTACTGGACATGCAGTCGACTCTCTAACCGGAGATTGTAGATTTGTTTCTAATGCAGGAGGCAAAGAACTAGAACTTGAAGTCGATGAGCAGGACCTACACGACGAGGATGAACTGGACGATGAAGAGGAACTAGATGATGAGACTGGAAACAGTGTTCTACTTATGTTTGTTGTTTTAGTCTCTTTTTCAGATTTGTTAACATTTTCTTTGTTTTCAATGTTTTGTGCCAACGCCAATATTTTTTGTCCTCTGTTCATATTGTAAACCTACAAAATTTATTAAGTAAAATTCCCTCTGCGTCAAAATGTATCAATGAAAAAATTATTACGAAAATTCAATTCACTACTTTAAATATCACAAACGTTCTGATGACGTGTTAAAATGTCTCAAACGAAAATTTTGTTTGCTCATGTATTTCAATAAGGACACCAAACAAAACATGACATCTAATAATTATCATTTTTTAACTAGATTAATTACAATTTATTTAAAAAAGACATTAAACTAAAAGCGTCACCGTTGTTTTAAAAAAATACATAAAAATATTTAAGTTTATTTTAATAAAGTGACACTAAACAAATAGTGTCACCATTGTATTACCATTCTTAATAGAAATTTTAATATTCATTTGGAAAAAATGTCAATAAACAAAAAGTGTCACTTTACATATTCTACTTACTTGAGATTCTCGAACTACTGGAAATAATACACTGACATTAACCACAAAATGACACTTTTTCACTAAGAGC